CTACTCTATAGAACAAAATAACCAAGAATTTTCCAACATATTAAAGTTCGAAATCTCAGGGTTTGTATACTTTGTGTCTCTGCCCACACTTTGGCTCAGAGCTCCTTGTGAATACATGATAGTTGCCAAAATAACCAATAAAACAGCTCTGGCTCCACTTACAGGCATAGCGGCAGGCACACCAGCGACCATGGCTGCACCAGCTACACCCTTCTTTGGTCCAGTGCCATCGGGTCCTTTGATCTTCTTCTTCTCTTTTTTGCGGTCACGCTCTACGTAAGTCCCCTTCATTTTAGCTATGATGTCAGAGTCAGTCTTTGAATACTGTATGCGCTGCAGGACCAAACAGAAAGATCACATGTGACACACAAACTATGGTAAGCAGCAGTTGTGTGATATTCAGTGTTTAGTTACCCTACCATCGGTTTATCATAGAAGGGGAAGCCCTGCATGGATCTCAGCGCATTGGAGGCGCTGTTAATCTCTTTGAAGATAACAAAGGCCTGACCCTTCATCTTTATGTTTCGTGCCACCAGGATATCCAAAATCTGTCCGAACTGTGAGAAGATGGCATACAGCGACTTTTTCAGCTCTGCAGTAAAAAAACAAAACACACACACACACACACACACACACACAAAACATAAAATGATTAGTCTGGTTGTGCTTATTTAAACGGAAAGAGATTTCAACGTGCAAACCTCACCATCTTTCTTGATCTTCTCATTCAGGTTGTTGATGTAGATAGTATGATTTAGCCGGACATCCGGGGTGGCCATCCTTTAATCTGCTGATGAGCGTTTGATGAACGTTTGTATCTTTAGAGACAGTCTGAGGCACAGTTTAGATTAGATGCTAAGTAGCTAACTAGCTAGCGACCGTTAGCAAACACTCACCAAACGTGACGGGGAGGGTTAGCCTGCAAGCTATCTACTACAAATTAACACCTTGTTTGGTGTTTTACATGTATATACTAATCACCCAAATACTTAAGATCGTCACAAAAAGCTCAAATGCATTATTTAAGTACATGAAAGCGCGGAAGAAGTGTTTCTTTATAAGAAAATTAACGATTCAAGTCTTTAGCTCGACGTTCCTACCTGATGAATGAAAACCCGGTCTTCACAAATCCCGTTTTCTGTTCTCGCGATAACAGTGCAAGCGTAACTTCCGATGTTTAACATCCGTGTCCCATTTTATTATTATTTTTTTTTCCTGTTGTAGCTGTTTCCAATCATTGTGGCAACATAACATTTTGTGTCACAGTTTTGGCTAAAAATATAACATAGGGGCAGACATTCTGATACAATTCTTCTCAGAGTTCAGATTATAGTGTGGCACATATTTTAGTCCGGGTTAGCTTAGCGCTTTTTTAAATTCTTATAATTTATCTTTAGCTTCATATTTAACTAGCAGTTAGAGTCATATGTATTATTTTTGCAGTTGGTACTGAGATAATTTAGATGCACTGGAGGGCGGTATGTTTCTATGTTCCTGAGGAGTGACTACACAAAGAAGAAGAAGAAGACGCAGCACGAGAGTAGTACTGCCAAATATGGGGACAAGCCGGGTGTCGTTAGCTGGCTTTGCTAGTTAGATAAGTGGGTGTGGGGTAAGTGTGCAAAAGACCATAAACCAAGTACTTGTATATGATTTCTGCACACCAGTTTGCACTAAAATAGTCTCCAACATCGAATAACGTTCGTCATTTGGTCCTGTATGTTGACAGGTTTAGTTATTAGCTTATTATAAGAAGAAGTCGAAGTTGGGCAGGTAGTTGCAGGTTCTATAATTACAGTTTATACTGGCTTGCTGCAGCTTGCCCCCGTTTTCTAACTAATTTCTACTTTATTAGTCCAGAATTCTTCAGGATAGAAGAAGATGTCAATGGAATGCTCCCTGCCACCTCCACCGCCTCCACCTGCTCCATGTACACCACCTCAAACGTCAGCACCAAAGAAGAAGCTGTATCAGACTATAGCCAGCAGTAGACGTGCTGTAGAGGGAGATCACACAGAGGCTTGCTTGCTGATCAGTCAGAGGGAGACCAGGTCAGGTTTTATCATGGATGTTTTCGCTTTGTGTGGAAAATTGATAAATCTGCACATAAATCTGCACATTTTTAAGTGCTCACATGCTTGGCAGACATTTGTCACACACAGTCATGCTCAAGTTGATCAAGCGGATCCATTGTGCAGTTCAAATGTTTCATCTTCCAACACAGCCATACATGTTTTTAGGGACAAACAACACAACCACGTGGTTAAACTAATCAAAGACACAGGAACTAAAAACCAAACATAAGAGGCAAGGATTCACCAAGTGAGTAATGTAACAGAGGGACACCTAACACAGAGACAGCAACTTAACTACAAGATACAAGAAGACACGTGGGGAGGCTAGGCTAAACAAAGAGTTACCTATTAATAACCAATATAAACCAGAATTAAAGTAAAAAGCTTAAAAATAAAAATCTTAAGGAATAACAGTGAAAAGAAATCTAAAGTCCAGAAAACCTAAAACATAACAAAACCCACGGACCAGGACACATCTCAGAATGTACAGTTATATAATCCAGAACCAGTGAGCAGTGAGATAAAGTATTGACAGAGCAATATATGCATCTATTTTCTGCCACTTATGTGGGTGGTGGGGGCAGCAGACCTCCTTCTCATCTTCCTCCATCTCTCCTGAGGGGACAGTGGGTTTGCTCGGGAAAATCTCAGAGATATAATCTCTTCAGTGTGTCCTGGGCCGGCCCAAAATACCTCTCCTGTATTGTCCTGGAGGCATCCTGGTCAGATGTCTGAACGGATGAACTTATCAGTCGATAAGTGTCCCACAATCAGAATCAGGATACTTTATTAATCACACAGGTAATTATGTGATCACAGCTGCTCCAAGACGTTAAGAACAGTAACTAGCTAAACTAAATGAAATAATGCTACAAAGTTACAAAATATAACAAATAACTGTAATATACCTAAATGGCTGTAATTATGAATTAAAGTAAAGAGAGACCTTAACTAGCTTGCAGTGATGAAAATGAATCTCACAGGAAGGATGAAAGACAGTAGTAAAGTGAGAGATTTGTTATTTAATTAAAACGTTTGAAAATAGTACACGCACAGACACCACAATGGACTGTATACAAAGAGTGTGTTTCTCTGATGGTTATGTTGTTTTGTATTGAGTACTACTACAACTTTGCTACAAAGTTGCATTATCCTATTATATTGTGATATTATTGCATTGTAGCTTAACCCCAAGAACAGAGAGTTGCCTGAATATATCTCTGACATGGAGTCAATAAAACTGAATGTCAAGATTGGGGCAAAAGTCCTGAGCCAAGAGTGAGACCTTCTTGTCATTTTTTTTTAAATTGGTCTTTAACAATAGTTCTTCAGACTTTCTGAAGGTCTTTGAAAAGTTTTTCTTTGGGCATTGGCTGCTTTTTCCACTCATTCTCAGTCCAGTCCTCCCATTTGACGTTTATTCAGAGGAATAATCTTTTTTGTGCAACTTAATATTGACCTATGAATCATAGCATAAAAAAGGGAACCTAACTCAAACTGTTGTCAGTGTGAGTCACATTACAGACAACTTGGAAAAGTACTTATTTTAAATTGTATCTTTGGGCACTTTGTTACTAGCAGCCTGTTATATAAAAACATAATTTGTTCCCATTTCTTTAGTTGAATCTATGAAAAAGTGTCAGATAATACAATTTGGCAGACATAAAATGGTATTTTGCTTGGTGTGTAGTGTGTTCTTAAATATTTGAGAAAATTGCAAAATAGAAGACAAAAGAAGTGAAAGGCCTAAAAAACTTCAGCAGATGAAAAATATCTGGAAGAAATGTCCTTGTAAAATAAGAAGAAATCCAGTAAAGACTGGAACCAGAATCAGATGGATCTGGCCTTTCAGTTTATGCATCTACTGTTCACTGAAGCCTCATCAGAAATGGTCTCACTGAAAGTGTGGCTTTCAAGAAGCTGTTCTTAAGGAAGGAAAACAGGGAGAAAAGGCTGAGGTATGCCAAATTACACGAGATGGAATTATAAATGCAGAAAAATACCATCACATTTTGATCCACCATCAGTACCATCTGGAAAGCATCTAACTGGCAACAAATTCATTTTCAGCATGACAGTGATTCCAAACACAGTGTCAGTGGAATAAAGGTGACCCTGATCCAGCACTAACTATGTGCTGCAATAGGTGTAGGCTGCTGGGAGATTCCCATGATGCACTGAGTGCTTCTTTAGTCACCTTTCTCACTCACTATGTGTTAATAGACCTCTCTGAGTTGAATCATTACTTATTAATTATCTCTGGCTCTCTTCCATGGCATGTCTTTTGTCCCGTCTTCCTCCCCTCCCCCCTCATCCCAACCGGTCACGGCAGATGGCGGCTCTTTCCTGAGCCTGGTTCTGCTCGAGGCTTCTTCCTGTTAAAAAGGGAGTTTTTCCTTCCCACTGTTGCCAAAGTGCCTGCTCATAGGGGGTCGTATGGTTGTTGAGTTTTACTCTGTATGTATTATTGTAGGGTCTACCTTACAATATAAAGCACCTTGAGGCGACGGTTGTTGTGATTTGGTGCTGTATAAATAAAACTGAATTCCATTGAATTGAATGAAAAGCAGTCATCATCCAAAGACAACCTATTTCAAATTTTATAGCAAAACGGGATGAAATGAAGGGTGGCTCAAGACGTTTGCACAGTACTGTACATGATAGTCCTGTGAAGGAAGCTTTTTATAATGCTGGCATTTGACTCCTCAAAGTATCCTGAAACCTTAGCAGCCAATACAGTTATCAGCCAGTTGATTAACACGTGACTATAAAAGAATCAGAAAGCAGAGATTAGAAACAGTTGGGGATAGGAAACACTCACATGCCGTAAACTGCTACAGTTTTGATGCAGATAATGTGACACAACATATGGAACTAATGCTTAGAATTGATTCATGGCTGAGAAAAAACCTTTTTCATTTGTGTAAGTGCAGCAGATAAACGGTTAATAAGCTCCATGCCTTCATGTTATGCAGTGCCATTTGTTTGTTCTTCAGTTTCAGGAAGGACCTGCAGTGGATTCTGGCGAACACCTACGTGCCATCACTCATTCAAGATGGTCCACAGTAAGTCACTAAAGTGAAGTGTCACTGTAATACCTGTCACTCAACAACTCAATCTATTTTTGGTTAAGAAGTATGTTGCATATCACGCCAGTTTCCACAACAATTTTAAACTTCTGTAGTATTTTATTATTTTTAGTTATTTGGTTTACCTGAATTCTTTTACGTGAGTGGGTGACATATTTGTTCAGTGTGTTATTTCTGGTAACCTTGTAGGTGTGGTCTGGTGGCTTTGTGGATGGCTGCTCACCTACGGCAGCCGCGGCTGAGTGTCGACATGGAGACGGTGGTTCAGACAGCTCTGAGCAGGGGATACACGGCTCAGGGTGAAATGTTCTCGGGTATAAAATAAAAATGTGTGAACTCTTCAGGTCTGTTTGTATTTGGGAGCAAAAAAACCCACAAAAGAAACAGGTGGAGGCTGTGATTAAACATTTGGAACTTTATGACACATTTTGCAGCCGATATTTAATTTAATGTTTCACAAGCAAGTAAACATTCAGTTTCAAGCTGGTGAATTTTGATTTCTTTATGTTCTCATTAAGCTTTTTATTTTGTCAGCTGACAATATGGCCCTGCTGGCAGAAGAGGTGTGTGGCTGCAAGGCCAAGCTCCTTTCGGGGGGTCTGAGTGGTAATAATGCTGCAGCCATCATCTCACACCTGTGGGGGAGACAGCCTGTTCTCATCCCGTATCCTGGACCAAACCATAGGGAAAGGGTTGCTGTGAAGGAAAAGCAGTAGATTTGGATTTGTGATTAAAGAGAAAAGCAAAACTCCTTGACAGTTTTTACAGCTATGACGAGGATTACAACCACGAGCCGTGCCAGCGTAGTGGCCACAGAGCGCACTGGGCAGTTGCTTCAGGTAAGAATGAATAGCTAACCCAACCTAAGGTAGGGTTTATTATGTAGGATTTCCCTTAAAGTGAGCCTAGTTTGACTAATCAGACCACACAGTAACAGAGTTTATTCATTCCAGGCGTTCTCCTCGGTGTGGACCAGGGGAGTGTGAGTAAAGAGCATGTTCAGCCTGATCCCTCTCTGCCGTGGCTCTACCTCGCCGCCGACAGCAGCTCATCTTGTCCCGCCGGCAGCACGGCGCTCAGAGATGTTTACATCCTCGCTAAGCAAGGTAAAAGCTTGCGCTACCAGCTGTGGAGTTTGGACACTGTAGCTCAGAGCAATGAGCAGCTGAGGATGATGGACCCTCAGAGAGCCAGTGATGGCACCAAGTATGTGGTTCCCAAAGGAGGGGTGGAGGCCGGTCTGGCTGGAAAGGCGGTGATGCTCCACACAAGGTCCACACAGTGAAGCAGACACACATTATTTATTTAATTAAAAGGACTTTAAAGTAAGGGTTATCAGGGAGAAGCCACGCCCACATGTTCAGCCATGCTCTGGTCACTGTTTTTGTAAAGTGTTGGTGTATATATATATATATAATATATTATATATATATAAGTAGGCATCAATGAAAACAGAATTTATGAATTTTTTTTTTTTTTTTATTTTTATTTATTTTATTATTTTTTTTTTTTTTTTTAGCATTTTCATACCACAATTTATTGGAGAGGAACAGTGTTTATGTAATTTTTGCCTGTTACGCCACCTTAATGGATTTTAAAATAAACAGTTAAGGAGACAGACCGTGTAATTTCTCTGGAGGAATTTGTTTGGAACATTTATTTTCTCGAACCAAGCTCAATCTTTCCAATTTTTCAATCAGATCACTGCTTTTGGCAAAAAGCATGCTCATAGCACAGTACCGAATATGCAATGATATACTTAATAGTAACGTAATACTATTTTACGTCAGATGCACAGCTGGACGCTGCTCTGGGTCAGTCGGCTCTCTGAAAAGATTCCTCTACCTCCACCAATCCCAACTCTGCCAACAAGAGCTCGAACTGCCCCACTGACATCCTGAAATATGCGCGAAAGCAGTTGTGACACAGCTTTAACTCCTGGATCAAACCATCAAGTTCTCCCTGCTGCTTCCTTCTCGTGACAATCTGATGAACCCAGAATCTCAGTTTGAATCTCAGCTCCTCTCAGTTTGACATCTACTTCATTTTGCTCACAGTGTTTTTTGAAAAACACAACACGTTCGGTGTATATAAATTACCCAGCAAGTTTGGATAAAGAAATTTCTGACTTTTATGTTGCTTTTTTGCAGCATTCTCGGTGTTAAATGACCTTCAGTCCTTTGTTCAGATAAGTTTTTTATATGGTTGCAGCAAACCAGAATGGTCAAAAACCTTAAAAAGCAGTCCAATAATGTTTGTGTGTTTGCTGTCGTGTCTCATGCTGCCGCTTATTATCACATTTATTTGCACAGTATAGGCGGCTTTAAAAACATTTTGACAGAAAATATTGGAAGGAGCAGGATGGGCATGTCGGGGGAAATTCCTCCTGACAGTGATAACAGTGAGTGAGGTGAAAACCCCCCACTTTAAACAGGAGTGGAGAAATAGGGTTTCAAATGTTGCTTTTCTGGCTGCTGTTGAGCTTGTTTAAACACTGCTAAATCAAACAGGTTTACTTTTCTGTCATTCAAATGAATGCTTTTATGGAGCAGAGAGCATAGAAAATATGTCAGGCGATAAAAGCCTGTGCTGGTTGTTGCAGTGTTTTTGTCAGGCGCTGAAAACATACTTCTAGTTGTGCAGGTCCTCAATCATCCACATCACGGTAGTTTTAACCGCTTCAATTGAAGGCAGTTCAAAGAATTTACATCTTGACTCATGTAGCAGTGACGCGTGATTACAGGGTGAGTTAAAGACCGCCTCCACGGTAAAAACCACACTGAAGACATACTGAATACCCGAGACTCCTCATTAGCCTTTAGAACTGAAAAAGCCTTTCAGTTAGGAGGTGAAACATCTATAAGAGCCATAAATGTTCAGTTTCCTTCAACTCAAACGCTGCAGACACTACAGGATACATGCTGGCTTCAACCCGTAACTCACACTGGCCATTAACGTGTGACAAGATCAGAAGACTTGTTGATTTTGCAATGCCGTCAGAATTTTGTGTAACTGGTGTGTGAAATCATGGTTTTCTCTCTTAATTTTGAACCATTGTTGTAAAAAAAAAAAAAGAAAGACGCGGAAGTCATTTTGATCATGCACTCTTAAAATGTGTGAGTAGACAAATGAATGTGAACAGCCCATCAGTTTCCATGGGCTCAAAGACAATCAGATAAACTAAGATAATTATAAAATCTGCTCCGATGAACCTCATTTGCAGTTGGCGACTGCATGAAGCCTGGCTGGATGTTATGAAATGCTTTATTTCCTCCCTGCAGGCCCGTTACCAAGTAAAAATCCGGCTTAGTTAAATAATTGTGACTAACCCATTTATAAGCTTACAGTTTGTCCCCCTTAAGAAGCTTGTAGGTTGTTTATGAAGCACCAGTTTTGCAGCGTTTGGCTGAATTTGAGCAGAAGTCATGCACACTTCAGAAGTCGTCCTGCTGCTTCTGTCAGCAGTCACACCATCGATACGTCCATACTATAACAGCGCCTCCAGCATGTTTGACAGATGATGGAAATCGCAAGCCATTCCTCAGCGCTGAGGCATAGTATGACCTCTAAATCATGCAAGTTCATCTAAATGTGAAATTTCTACAGCCAAAATGATAAACTAGCACTTTGATTCCTAATTTACTTATAAAAATTTAAAAAAAAAAAAAAAGAAGCTTCTGTCACATCTACATAATTTCCTTTGGGATTATAAAAGTATTTTGATTCTGATCTTCATTAAGGTGGTTTTCTTGTCTCTGTACTTGTGGACTGCTAATTTTCTTATCAACCAAAAATAAATTGTCATCTAGTTTTTACACAAAGTTTCCACCATCTCAGTTTTCAGGGACAGTTCAACACAAAATGATTCATCTGGTTTTATTTAGAAACTTGTGATAAAAGGTCACAGCTGACTGAACAGGACATATTCTTACAGTAGTGTTAAATTTATAATTAAATGTTAGATCATCTTGATTCAGCGCTCTTTTACAAAAGTATATGATTTGGTGTGTGTGTGTGTTTGCACAAAGAACTGGAAAAAAAAATTACAATAAAAATCCCCCAAAACTCTGAAAACTCTCCACTTTCATTTTATTGTAATCCACAACCGTCTGGACAAAGCAGAGGTTTATAAACAGTTTCAATCAGTCCGTTTGTTCTTTCTGTGAAAAGCGCTGCCTTTGAAATACAAAATGTGGTCACGAATCCAGTTTTCTTGCTTACAAAGCAGCACCCTCTTTGAAAACCTGATAGTTTGACATTTTACAAATATAGAGACTTTCTGGGCAAAGGTTTTTAACACTTTGTAAACACTATACTATCCGTCTCTCCTGCCATGTTTACCCTTCGGAGATGAAAAATCTAAACTCCTGAATTCGAATTCCAATCTTGTTAAGTCACGCGTTCACAGCACTTGTGTGGGAAATGTTCGTGCCGAGTTAACCACATGCCCACACCCCCACCCACCTAAACAGTGCTGCCTGACACTGTCAAAGGAAGACTGGACACTTGACGTTCACCAATGCGTCACATTCCCGTCGGGATCTGATGCACATGCTCACAAGCACGGCCTGCACGTATAACAGTGTCGCTTCTTTGTAAACTTTCAATGTTGCATACAAAAATGTAAATACCCACATTCCTCCTGTCTATCCTAGCTTAATTATGTTTACAGCGGTGTCCTTTAACCTCTGTTTTACTCAGACACCCGTCATCGCTCATACACAGATTTTATTTTTTTTTGGTTTTGAGTTTGTGTGTAAGTCAGAGCCCACACGAACTGATCAGATTAATCGGGTAATTCCAGTTTCACAGACTAAAGCAACACTGATCAGCGAATTGAGATAACAGGCAGAAATATTTACGTTGAACAGTAAACCCAATACTTAAACCTCTGCTGGAGACGCACAGACATGTTTTGTTCAATGGCTTTGTGAGAATCCATAGTGCAACAAACTTCAGACAAACAAGGCTGTCGAGCTTCTAAAAATCACTGCATTTTCATACAAAAGTCCAATTAAGAAAAAAACTTTCTGTTTCCAAGAAAAGTTAAAACTGTGGGATTTCAATGTAAATCGATTCATACTTGGGTGAACTCTTTTGGAAGTAAAATAGCACGAGTCCACTGCAAGTGGAATGATCAGATAGCTCAGTTTCTTTTTTTAAAAAGCCAGGCACAGAAATCATACAAACACAGTAAGGCTATACCAAGGCAGGAAAAAACAAAACAAAGTTAAATTAAACTGTATTTACATGCTGAGTTAGTTAACACGTGGTCTGACCACTGCTTTTAGTGTTGCTGTATACTTAGTCATCAAAAGTGGTCCATGATAAAAAAAAAAAAAAAAATCCAACACTCCTCAGAGGCTCGTTTAAAAAAAACAAACAAACAACAAAAACACGCTCCTGTTGGTCAAGATCACGGCTGAGGAGATGGCTGCTCTGGCCACCTCTCGCCAACAGAGGGAGCTGTGAGGAGGAGCGAGATGAGTCTCTGCAATAAAAAGTGACTGCTAAAGGTCCATGAGTGCAGAGGCCTGTACTCTCAGAAAATAAACCACAGCCCAAGTAAAACAAAACAAAGTTACAATTGTGCTTTAAATTTAACAGCTCGTGTCATCCGCCCCCTTATTCCACATAATGCATAACGTTAACCTTTTGGCATATTCCACTTCGCCCGCCCTTCTCACACTGGTACAAGTTGATAAAGTCACTTGGTGTGAGCCCTGAAAGGAGTAACTGAAGTGGTGGCCCTCTGTTAGCCATTCCTCTGTCACTCTTAGTTTGTATAATCTTCTTCAACATCCCATCAGTCTCTTACTGCAGTCCTGTGTCTTGCTCAAGGAGTCTCCGGGAGCATGGTGCTGAAGATGTCTATGAGGTTGTCCAGTCCCCACAGGTAGCCGTCCTCCCTGTTGCCCTCCACCCAGGGAGTCCTGTGGTCGAGAGTTTGAGGTGTCTGCAAGGGGACCGTTTTTCCAAAGTCGATCATCCAGACTTTCGCTTTTCCTGAGGCGTCGTGCACAAACAGAAGAGAGCTGCCCACAACCTGCAATCGATAAACCAGCAAGACCAGTGAGTTTAAGTATGCAGCGCTGATGGGATTATAACAAATCAGCAACACAGACAACAGGTCTGTTAGAAGAAGTCAGAACGGAGTCCGTCTCACCTCGTGTGTCCTGAAGAACTGTGACTGCTCCAGGGCTGAGCGTAGTTCCTCCAACCGCTGCAGGTAGAGTTTCTGAGGAAAACAGAAAAAAAGGACACAGAAACTGAGACTGTGGGAATTTGCAAATTGGAGCCAAAAAACCCAAACAAAACACTTTTTGTTCTTCTTTCTTATTTAAAGGTAAGTGTAAAACCTTACATCCTTGTTTGATGCAGGTGCTACCGC